CTATTGAGTTGCATATGGTGCACACAATGTATAACTTTACAGAGTCAACAAGTCCAGAAAATCCAGCCAAATTGTCCTTTTCCATGACAGAAACAGAACTCAAGCTCACAGTCTACACAGAATTCATGTAATAGTAGGACTGTGTGTTGATTTAAAAGGCATCTCCTTCCCTACATTTGTGATAATTATGAATGTGCACATGTTTTATAAATGTCAGGGGAAACTCTGGTTTGGGATTCTGTGGGTCACATGGCAACTGCCTAAAAGGCTTCTGGAAGGAGAAAAAATGTGGTGTACATTTGGCACACAGGCTCTCCACCTCATTCTACTTTGAACTCCCCAAAGCTTCCTCCAGTCTCCTTCTACCAAGTGTTCCGGCATAATGAAGCTCGGCTGTGTTTTATATGTTAATTTGGCTTTCAAATTTAAAATAAAAAGGGAAATGGGGTGGATATAACTTAAGGAAAAGGGCTTTTTGGAAAAATACAAAACTCTAGTTAGAGCACAACTTGTTCTTAGTACCTTAGTCAATGGCTCTGTGATCTGGTGGAAATCAACCAACATTTGCAGACTTTGCAAGTGTACTGTAGTATACTTACTATTCAGACCCTTATTTCTACCACATAGCTATCTCCTGAGCACCAGGATTATTTAATGTTTATATATATGTATATGTACATACACACACACACTCATAAATGATCTGCAAGACAAACATGATTCCTCGGCAGTCATGCGCTCAAATGATTATTCTCTGGGAATATTGACCATATTCCTGCTTGCTGATGTAGTACAATGAAGGTCAATCCCTTTTCATGTGCCAAATTTAACAAGATACTTGTTTAATAGCATTTGTATTGCAAATTGGATAATTTTTTTAAACATTGCACTTGGTTGTCTGTGAAGGAGAGAAACACTGAAAGTCAATTCCGAAGCAACATGAAGCCTCTAGCTCAGAGGCCCCTTTCCTCTTTCCTGAGGTCCTGCCTCTTCTCTGCCCCCGATCCCTCTTTATGGCTCCGCCCACAGGAAGCCCCAGAAGAACCCTTACAATTTTGTTCATCTGGTAAAAGGTATATTCACAGACCTTACAATTAAGCATTATGCCTGGAGGTGTTAACTAACGTTATTGTGGTAATCATTTCACAGTAAACACATATATCATCTCATCATATGCCTTCAACTTGCACAATGCTATATGTCAATTGTATCTCAATAAAGCTGGAAAAAATACAAGAAGGAAATATTCACATATATATATAAAGTCCATTATGTACACGCACACACAAACACACACACATACGTGTATGGATCCCATTATTTTATCCAACATCTCTATGAGGTGGGGTCATTATTCCCATTATGAGGAGAAACTCAGATGTTGAGTGGTTAAGTGATTTGCCCAACATCACACAGTCGTTGAATGGTTGACCTGGGCAATGGTTGACAAAATATATCTTGTTTTAAAGACTGTATTCTTAAACTCGATGTTATTCTGGTTCAAATATGACTTTACAAGCTTACAATGTTTTATATATAATAGCTCCTTACAGATACTTATTTACAGTGACTTTTCTCAGCTGCAAATACTGTTAACTTGTTTCCATATAAATATTTTGGTGAATTATTAGTAAATGATCAACCAAGTAACTAACAAGAAACAAAGAAAATAGTGCTTCTGTTTAATCTTTGTTTTTGAGTAAAGAGAAATAAAGAAGCCAAAAACATTTAAAAGAAATAAACAACATGCCTGCAATCATCACTTTTAGTCAACATATACTGAAAGTCTTAGCCAGTGTTAAGACAAGGGAAAGAAGCAAAATGTCAAAGATCTAGAAAGGAAAATACAAAATTTTCATTATTTAAGGACTACATGATTCATTCATAGAAAAATGGAAAGGAATCATCACATGAAATGTTATAATGAACCAAGTAATATAACAATATAGTTGAGTTCACAGTCAATATATAAATATAACATTTATATATACCAGCAAAAAAATTAGAAAATCAAATTGAGGAAAAAGTATGCCATCTGTAATAGGATTAAAATAAACATAAATACCTTGAAATAATCATATTAAAAGATATTATATCCTCTACATGATATATTATAAAACACTGTTGGAGAGAAAATTTTAAAACCTGAGTAAAGTGGTATGTCATGTTTATAGATTTTAAAGATGTGAATTTTCCAGTCATTGACATATAGATTAATTGCAATCTCAATAAAGATCTCAGAAGGTTTCTGTGGAAATTGACAAACTAATGCTAATATTTATATAAAAATGCAAAGGGCCAAGAATAGTCAAAACAATTTGAAAAAGAAGTAAAACTCTGGAGGACTAGTATTAAAAATATTTATCAATTTACAGTAGTTAAGACAGTATAACATTGCCACAAAGTTGGAAAAATATGCCAAATGACTATAGAAAGTCTAAAAATTAACTTGCAAATATATATTTGATTTAGGGCAAAGGTGGCACCACAGACCTTTGGGGAAAGAATCATTTTTCAATAAATGATGCTAGGTCAGTGAGAGATCAAGGGGCAAAGAAAAATAAAAGAACATTGACCCCCTACATTGGCCCCTACAACAAAAATCAATCTGGGTGAAAGTCAGCCTAAGAGAGAAAGTGAAACAATATGGATTCTAGGAGACAGAGTATCTTTGTGACTCTCGTATGAGCAAAGACTTCTTAAACAGGACATGAAGAGCACTAAACCTAAAGGAAACAAAATGATGAATTGATCATCTCTAAAATTAAAAAACATTAAGAAAGTAAAAACAGGTAAGAGTGGATCAGAGTGGGAGAAAATACTTATAATACACAAAAACAGCAGATGACGCATATACTCAATATATAAAGAACTCTTGCAGGACAGACTGGCTAACCAGTTTAAAGAGTGCTTTGAAAAAGAGGAGATCCAATTGCCAATAAACTTATGAAAAAGTGCTCAAGCACTTGGTGATTAGAAAAATGTAAGTTAATACAACCCTAAGCTACCATTACACAGAATGGCTACACTTAAAAAGATGGAATATTCCACATGGTGGAGAGAATGTGGCACAGACTATCATACCCCACTGGTGGGAACGTAAATTGGTACAACCACTTTGGAAAACTGTTAGTATTCTCTAAAGCTCAACATACTCTATGACATAAGAATTCCACCTCCACGGGAGAAAATACATATGTGCACCAAAAGAACATTCATAGAATGTTTATAGCAGCACTATTCCTAAGCCCATCACTAGAACAAACCAAATCTCCATCAACAGCTGAAAAGATACATAAATCGAGGTGTACAAGGGACTACTATGCAGCAACATAAATAGATGAATTATTGCTTCATGCGACAGAACGGATTAGTTTCCCATTTCCTATATAATGTTCACTGCAAGAAGCCAAATACAAACTGTATGATTCCATTCTTCTAAATTTCAAATGCAGGAAAAACAAATGTTCAATTTTACAAGTCAGGATGGTGGTGGTTACTCTTGTATGCTTAATATGGTTGCAGTTTCTATATGTATACATTTTCATTTCATTATATTAGATGTTTACAGTCTCAATATTATATTAATAAAATGCTATGTTTTATTAATATTAATATATCATATTGACATACAATTCTAATAGACCAAATAAATTTTATAATTTAATATTTATTACAAAACTATTATTAAACTTATTAATATGGCTATATTAACATATAATTTTAAATTTAATAAATAATATTGAATAAATGAAATTTAATTTTAATTAGCATATGACAGTAATAAAACATTAATATTAATGGTAATGTTATTTTAGCTGCAGAATGGATGTCAGCAGCTTGGAAAAAAATTATGGAACAAGAAGACCTCCACCACCAATATTCCTTATGGCACATGGGCTGATATCCTGAGTAAAATAGCACTTCAGAAGAATTTTTGAAACTGAACTCTTGAAATAACCTATTTTGCTTTTAAATGTATAGGAGTTTTAAAATGTTTTTAAAATGTATAGGAGTGGTACAGATAAAAATGTATGTCAAATCATTCTAAAAGTACTATTTCAATAAAGCAAAATGAACGTTCAAAGAATAAAACAAATAAAAGGAATTTATCTTAAAGATAAATATTAAAACAACAAAAAGAATTTATTCTAAGGATAAATGTTCATTGCAGTATTAATTATAAAATGGAGATTCTGAATGCACCTAAACGTTTTACTGTAGTGGAATAAAGATGTATGCTATGATATTATGGTGTACCCATACAAGGCAGCGATTTAAAAATGTTACGAAAAATACTTGACAGTATAGAATGCTCATATAATAGAAAATATGTGTGCATGTATACACATATATATTTATATATATGTATATATATATTTATATATATTTTTTATATATATTTTATATATAAATTTATACATTATTTATATATGTATATATATACACATATATATTTATATATGTATATATATATTTATTATTTATACATTATATATATGTAACAATGAGTGAAGAACAGATGCCTAGAAAACTTCTGAAAGGAAATCCACCAAAATGCTGTTTCCATGAAATGATACTCAGGTAAGTGACTTTTTTTCCTATTTTCCAAATTATTTGTGTTATGGGTCTTTTTTTTAATAAAAAATTAATTTAGAACAAAAATTTACAGTGCAGAATACTGTACGTTTTGAGTGTTTTGGAGACAAGATCAGCCTTCTAGGAAAGAAATGAAGACAGGTCAATATCCTTGAAATGATAACATTTAAGCAGTTAACTGTCACTGATTTCAAAATGTGATACAGATTCCTGGGAATTGAGGGCAACCCATTCAGACTTCAGAACAGCAAGGCATTAAAAAAAAAATATTGAAGTGTTTTGTTCAGCTACTGTTTTCCTTAATACCAATACCGTGGCCTGACCTTGACCTTTTCACAACTGCCTTTATATCATTGTGCTAGTCAAAGCAAATAACGAATACACAAAGAGCATTTGCGCACCTTCCGTCTTTTTCCAGTAGACCTTCACCTGCAGCTGATTGTCCTGATAGAACGGAGCTCCAATTTCCAGGAGGCGAGTGGGCCGTCTTCTTTGGAAAGGGGGCTGTATCTGCATCACACTTTTTTTAGTTTTCCCAAGTTGTTCTTCTACAACAAAGTACAACGTTCTAATTTACTTGTTAAAAATAATTCTATATCCCGATATCAATCCCAGTGTATTTAATTTCATTCTGTTTTCATTCATATTTAGTGGTTGTTTTTTAAAGTAAAATGGGATGCAACTGCAGATTCTTTCATGATCAAGTTGTTGACACTCCCCCCTCCCATAAGATGCTGGATGCCTAAAAGTATCTTACATGCAATCCCGAGAATTTAAATTGCTAATCAACATGTATTCACCGGGCTTGAAAGATGCTCCCACTTAAGTAATAGGTATAAATAGTATTTCTCATTATACATAGATATCTTTTGTAGTTATGAAGCTAAACAAAACAATATTAAAATACTATATCATGAAAACAATATAGCTAGTTTTTCACAGAAGTACCAGCATCACACAGCAATACCTGGTGCAAGGCACTAAACAGAAACATGGTTCAACTTTGTCAAATTTGTCGTAAGAAGTACAAATTGCATCAACCCAACTGATTTCCCAATCACTCACAGCAGCCAACAACTGATCCACGTACTGTTCGAATTACTGACAGACATTCCAAACTCTGACAGATATTAACGTGAAATATTAAAATACTCAGCAAGTGAAATGAAATGCAATGGCAACAATACATTAGATTGGGGAATGGAATATAAGGGCACATTCATCCATCCATTCATCTATTCTGTAAATATTTGGGGACCACTTCCCAAGTGCCAGGCCCTGAGCTAGGGGCTGAAGATACAAAGCTTTCTTACCTGAGGGCTCTTAAAATAGCAGAAGCCATGTCTGCAGGTGATTACAGCCCACAGCAAGAATGCTCTACTGAAGGGAGGTGCACGGGGCTACAGGAGCGTAGGTGGGGAGGGAAGGAATTGCGAAAGTCTGACAAGCCACTGTTATTTGTTTTCTTCAGAAAAGTAGCCGAAGGCTTTCTGAGGGAAGGAGTTTTTTTTTTTTCCCCACATGGATATTCATTTTATTTTATTTCATTTTTTTTTTAATTTTTTGTTTATTGCAGTAACATTGGTTTATAACATGGTATAAATTTCAGGTGTACATCATTATACTTCTATTTCTGCATAGATTACATCATGTTCACCACCCAAATACTAATTACAACCCATCACCACACACTTGTGCCAAATTATCCCTTTCGCCCTCCTCCCTCCCCCCTTCCCCTCTGGTAACCACCAATCCAATCTCTGTCTCTCTGTGTTTGTTTGTTGTTGTTATTATCTACTACATAATGAAGGAAATCATACGGTATTGAGGGAATGTTTTAAGGATACACTGGAAGATTGTTTCAGTATGAGACGGGATACTTTAGGAAAGACAAGATTGAGAGTATGTGCACATGTTCGTTACTACTTTTTTTAACATGCATTTTTTCCTATTGTCTATTTAAAACTTCAACACATACTCGCTGCAAAGCAAGGACAATATAAAAGTGATTCAGAATGATCCCAAGCCTTAAATATCCCATATCGAACGGACATAGAGATAGGCTGTAGTCAAGCAAAAAAAAAACCAAGAAATATTTCTTTGACTTAGGTAATTCAAATTTTCTAGGCTAGGTCACTTCTTATTGTGTCGCTGTTTCAGGTCATGATCTGGGTCTAGTTTCAGTGTTCCTTTTACCTTGCCATTTTAATTTAGCTACATCTTTTGTGCCTTCTTGATTCCTAAATCTGTTGGGCTCCTTCGTAACAATGTTTCAGATTCGTTTTGTTCTGAATGCACCAGCACTACTTCTGTGTGCTCCTGTTACAACACTCTGTCCTTCCAAACTTCCTATACGCTCTCCTTGGTGAAGATTTCCCAGGATAAACGGAAACAGACCCCTTTTCAGTGCTCCCATATTTTCCCAATTTTAAATAGCTATTTTCCCTTTAATTTGTTCCTCCAACTCAACCTTGAACTCCTCCAGAGAAATAACCTTCTTCTCATCTCCCTTGGGTTTACCCCACCTCACTCAGGGACACACAGAGTAAGTTGCTTTCTAAGCATGAATCGAATGAAATGAAATGAAGAAATCTATGAATCAACGGCTCTAGAGCTGTTACCAAATACTTATTCGTCTGGGTTGTGTGGGGTGTTTTACTTATGGTATTTACTTATGTTATGTTATTTAAGTTATTTACTTATGTTATATTATGTTACTTATGTTATTATTACGTTATTTAGCACAGTAATCCTTTGACACAGGATTCAAACATGTTTCTCCGGGGTCCATTTTCCTTTGTTGCAGCAAGGGCAATAAACCTAAGTTTTTTTCCAGGTGTGTTCCTGGTGGTTTTTGGTTTGCTTGGTGAGCTTTGACACCATTTTATTTATATCCATACAAGCATCCTATGAAATAGAACAGAGGTCATTAACTTTTCAGTAAAGGGCCAGAGAGTACATATTTTTGGGTCTCTCTCCCAACTACTCAATTCTTATTATAGCACAAAGGCAGCCATAGATGGTCTGTAAACAAACAACTGTGGCCGCATAACAATAAACTTTTATTTACAAACACAGGCAGTGGGCTGGAGTTGGCCTGTGGGCCATAGTTTGCAGACCTTGAGAAAGAGGAATTAGCATATACATGTTAAAGACAGAAGAAGTAGGACCTGAAAATATTAAGAATCGAGTCAGGATTCATCCAATTCAAGCAGTTTAATCCCAAGGCCATCTCAGGTCAAGCTTATGTTCCTCAATGACTAAGCACAGCCTCCTTATGGAGACCAAGGTGATAATTTAGATTGTTTAATAATGAGGATAGCAAAATTTCCCCTGCCTCATATCTCTCCTTTAGCCACTCGTTGATTTTGGAAGTCACATCCTTAGAAATTCTGCCCTTTGATGCAAGACTTTTCTGCTTTCTGAATTCCAAGTAGCCCTTTGAGAGAAAATAAGTTAAGCTGTGTTAAGCATATACTGATAAGAAACGTGTTATGGAAACTTTTCTAATAGAGCTGTGAGGTTCGCATTCTTGGGAAGGTGGAGGAAGATGGAAAGATGAGAATGTATGGGGAGAAGATTCTGGACCTGGGATCAGGCAGGATTAGTAAAGGAAAACTGGAGACCCCAAAGAAAAACTGCGTCAACTGTCTCCTTTTCCTTTTACTGGCATGCGTGTTGAATCATCTATCCAATGGATCTCATTAAAAGAGAATGGATACTTATATTACCCGTGTTTATATTCAGAATATTTTAAATAGTCCAAATAAATGTTTGGATAACTGAGAAATATTTATCGTGCTTAAGGGTTCTGCACCCAATTCCTGTGTGTGTGTGTGTGTGTGTGTAGGGGTGTGAGTGTGTGTGTGTGTGTGTGTGTGTGTGTAGGGTGGGGGGGTTCCCACACTACCAAGCACTTCTCCAACACCAGCTGAGTGTCCTACAATTCAACTCAATTCTGACACTGTCCACCTGGAGATAGCATCAGATTCTATAGGTTAATGGCTTGGTCCCACAAGACTGCCCCCCCATTCAGAGGTCAATTGCAATCCAGGTGGTCACCTGTGCTTCTGATTGACTGGCTATAGATTAGAGGCTCCTATGATCCCCTCCTTGAGTTCGATTAATTTGCTTGAGCAGCTCACACAACTCAGAGAAACATTTGATTTACTAGATTACCAGTTTATTATAAAACAATATAACTCAGGAAGAGCCAGATGGAAGAGACGCATAGGGCAAGGTATGGGGGAAGGGCTCGGAGCTTCCACGCCCTCTCCCAGGGCACCACTCTCTGCAAATTTCCTCGTGTTCACCAACATGGAAGTTCTCTGAACCCTGTCCTTTGTGGTTTTATGGAGCCTTCCTTACGTGGGCATGATTGATTAAATCATTGGTCATTGGAGACTGAACTCAATCTCTAGCCTCTCTCCCCTCCCCGGAGGTCAGGGGGGTGGGACTGAAAGTTCCAACCCTCAAGAATCGGTTGGTGACCAGCCAAATCTGGTGACCAGCACCCCTCCTTAGGTGCAGTCCAAAAGTCACTTCATTAACATAACAAAAGACACCTTTATCGCCCTCACCACTTAGGAAATTTCAAGAGTTTTAGGAGCTCTGTGCCAGGAAGAGTGTCAAAGACCAAATATCTATTTCTTATTTTACTAAACCATAATATCACAGGCTGCTACTATACCCTGTAGAGAGCCAGGGTAACCAATAGCACAGTAAGCTTAGAGCCCAGAGGAGGAGGCTGAGACAGAACGGAGAAATTCACAGGGATCCTGGCCAAAACTTGTGCCTTTCTTGACACCATGAAAGAATCCTGCTGGTTACACCTATTACTAATTAAGGATTTAAGATTGTCCCAGGCCCATTTTTGTTTTTCATTCCTTTAATAATCTGTGATGGTGAGAATTCACCAGCAGATAACCACGACAGAAGCTTAGATGCTATGTTTAACCTCTATGTGAATTTTGTCTTCCTACTTTCTTTTATATCATATGCAAATTTTTATTTTTAATTATAGATGTAGGAACATGTTTTTACATATCTCAAGATCGAATCGTTGCTGCTTTATAGAAATGATTCATGTGCAGAAATACATGAACACGTAGTGTTGCTGAGGTGTGCCCCACGTAAAGGAGAGAGACGCAGACTTCAGTCCCGGAAGTGCATCCCTGACTCTGACAGTGTGTCCTCCACTCTCAGTAGTAAACAAAAATGGAATAAAATCATTTCTAGCATATTCTGAGAAGGTATGAGGTCTGATTTATATTCTTTAATAGTCCTAAAAGTTAAGAGAATTGAGTGGGCTATTTTTTCAGATGTTAAAATCTTGATGAATTTTACAGATGGAGAGATTCAGAGTATTTTCTCTCCACACCATTTTTATTTTGGAGAGCTAGAAGAATATCTCAGTTGTATAAGGTAACTATCAAACATTTGGAATCTGTCAACCCTGTAAATATTCCTCCTGCCTCCAAAAAACGAGCTACATTTCCATTCAAGACAGCGTTATGTCTCTCCTCCTTCAAGGGGACCCTTTTATAAAACTGCATGAACATTCAGCCTTTGCTTGTGCAGACATATTTATCATCAAAACACCTAGCAAGACTGCAGACTTGGAAAAATAAAATTCAAAAAGTAATTTATATGCTGACATTTACTACTCTCTTTCCTGTAAAATATAATTTCACTTGCTTATACTATAAAGTTTAATTATTCTTTACTTCTAGTTGGTTCATGATGAAATATACAGTGTTCTTGTAAAAGTCATATAGTAGTGTTTATGAGATTATATATCAACACTGGGACATAAAATCCTGAAAAATACTCAGTTATATCCTGCATAATCCTTTGCAAAGCCAATCTCTTCTTTGGGATACCCTGAGACCCAAACAGTATGTGTTACCACAGGTATTTTGTACTATTACTTCTTTTTTTACTTTTCTTTTATTACTTTTCTGAACCCACGTGAGAAGAATCAGTTAATCCTCAGAATAGAGTGGTCTTTCATATGTTAACTATCATACCTCTTTATTGGTCAGGCAAGACATTATCTGATTTTAAAAGATGACTGGAAAATGACCTTAACACTCAGAATGATCCTCTCCAATGGAGAGAAGTTGCCTGAGGTTGTAGGTAAGAAAGGGAATAATTGACTAATTTGGTTTCACAAATATTTTTGGAGCAATGCTTATGGACTATGATGGCTGCTGTGGGCACAAAGAGAGGTAATCGATGTTCTCTGATCTAGATGAGATTTTGGTTCAGTGAATGTAGTTGTCTGAGTTGGGAAGGGATGGGTCAGAACCCCACAGACATAGTGTAGACATAGCGGAGTCTACCATATGCAAAAGGACGGATGCTTCCACCTTAGATTACACAAGATAGGAGAAGGTAAACACGGGTGAAGGGATAGATATGTTTATACTCATGTGTGGCTTTCTGAGAGGGAGGAATTCAGACTATGCTGTGCAATATGGTTTAAGTTGAGATAAAAAGGTTTGTAATCATACTTGAGAGGAAGGGAGAAGGAGCTAATTAAAGAGGATCTCATCGAGTTTAAGAGGTCGTGTGGGGATGCCCTAGGAAGAAAGAGAAAGCCCTAGATGTGCTATGGAGACCCAGAGTCCCATCAAAGCTCTGTCTGTGGGCCGGACCACGACAAGGCTCTAGGTGACGTAACCTCAACAATGGCAAGCTGAGGTTGGATTTCTTCTCCTTGTTTTTGGTTGTGGGAATAAACATATATTAAATTATGGGAGTCTGCAATCCCATACCAGTTTCTAATGGGGAAGGAATGTTGTTTATTGGAAAAAACAGAACGAGATTCAAAGGAAACCTTATTTTACACAATAGATGAAATCTCCGCCACTAGTAGGAAAAAAAGAAGGGTCTTGGGTGAAGCAGAAGTTTAAAGCATTTTAATCTTAGAAGGAAGTTGGGGAGGAATAAGGGGGAAAGCAGTGAAGGATGAAATTTGGGGAGAAGTGAAAAGAGAAGATGAGTAGGTGACAATCTTGAGAGTGGAACTCAGAAGAGGGAGAAATCTGTAATATGATTAATATTTTCTAACGGACACTTTGGCTGCCGTCTACAAAATGGATATTTAAGAAAGAGTGGACATAGAAATACTAATTAGGAGACTTTTACTTTTATAAAAAAGAGGTGACAATGGCCTGAAGATGGGAAAGAATATGACAGATCCTACATTTCATCCATACATGAAATTAGAGACAAAGGGACTATTTAAAGAGCTGGATTTCTGGAGAGAAAGCAGAGAGAAGCATGAAGACTGACCTCTGGATCTCTGGCTTGAGCCTAAGGGTGAATGGTGGAGCCATGTGTGGTGCGAGAGCCTGGAGGGGAGCAGGTGTGAGAGGGAAAACGAGAGCTGGGTTTTGGATATGTTACATGTGAAGTACCCGCTGATCATCCACGTGGAGACGTTGGGCAGGCAGCTGAATACGTGACTCGGGAGTTCAGGGAGGGTCAGGCTGGGACACACGGGGAGTCAGCAGCACATGGACGGTTATGAAATCCATGCGACTCACTGAGGGCTCCAAGGGAGAGAGCTGCCTCCCGCTCCTCCTCCAATCTTCCCCCACACGGAGCTCTCTGCACACACGATGATGCTCTTTTCCAGCTCTCTGCACTCACGCACACTGCTGCATTTGCGTGAGATGACACCCGTGCCTTGTGAGCCCACAGTGCACTCCTTCTTCGGGACTCAGTGAGGACTGTGGCTCCTGTTCCCCACCATCATGTTAGTTCCCTCTGCTTCCACCGTTCCTACAGCTGTGCGTGCAACGGACTGATCTCTGTGTAATCATGTTTACAGGTTTGTCTCCCAAATTCAACATTAAGCACTTTTAAGGCAGAGATCAAAATGTGTCTAGTGCTGGCAATAATGTATGTGTATGTGCATGTGTGTATGTGCATGTATATTTGCATATGTGTAGGTACATGCATGTGTATATGTATGCACATGTGTGTATATGCACACACATATAAGTACATGTTACATATATACTACATAGTGTACACATGGTCCATGTGGTATATATATAATATAGTGTACATACGTTTGTAGTATTATATAGTATAACATAATATTTCCATCATTAGACACAGTAATGTCACAATTCATAGGCATACATTTCAGTTTGATGAATGAATGAATGAATGACTGGAATAAAAAATGAATGAAGTTACTAAACACATAGAAATGTTTCCGCGAGAATTTTTAGGTAAAAGTTGTATTGTATCCAGACTCCTACATAGAAATGGTAGATTTTTCAAATCCATTTAATCTCCAAAGAGACCATTTCCCAAAAGGTAGGAAGAACTTTTTTGAAAGCATCATTTCAAAGAGACCTGTCTATTTGGATCCTATCTTTTCCCAGGTGGTAGGAGATAATTGTGAGCAATCAGTGCGTCTAACTCTGCGGAGCTGGCCTTGCCTTTCCTAAATTCAGACAAGCTTTTAGCCTGTTCTCTTCCCCTTCTGAATCAGGCTCACTGCCATGATGAAAGGCAGATACCACGGGCTCACAGAGGTACCTCAGGAATTAACATCACTGGAGCCCCGGGATAAGTGGCCCGTGCCCTCACGCTCTCTTGTAATCCATCCATTCCTGGAAACCCTGCCAGAAGCTTTCCAGTGCAGCTCTAACCAGCCCCCACTTCTGCACGGAGCCAGACCAGTCCGGTAACTCATGTTTTGGCTCAGATACAAGTGTCATATAAGACCCTCTTCTTGTTTTGCTCAGCTCAGGGCAAACACACTAGTTTAGAAAAACTGTAAACAAGGAAAATCAATATGGGAATGACTTAGTCACTCTAGTCAATGGAGAATTCAGGAGACTTTCAAGCCGTAATCACGACCACTGTGGATACCAACAAAAATGGGTCACGTCACATTTTCAGGAGGGAAGCAACAGTTTACAACAGTTTAACTGTATGCATTCTCCTTAAAAACATGTATGCATATGTAGAAAGACCCAAATTTATGTAAATATATAAATCTGTTAAAATGAGACATAAGCTTTCTTGTTAAATTTCCATTTATGACACTAAAATATTACACATAAAATCGATAAAAATCATAGAAAAAATTCGAAGGTAAAACTATTTCATACATCATAGTCCAAAGCACACAGTTACCTTTTTATTGGTAAGAAGATTTACCATGTAAAGATTCCAAATAAAAAACCACCTCTCCGTGGTGTCTCAATGTCATTGCTGGCTGGGTGAAAAACTGCTGGGGAAGCACTATAAGGTCACTTACTATTGCTGGTGGCGTGTGTGGACGTGAAATGAAGGGAGACCTTCGCACTCTTCAGGCGCGTCTGCCCCCAGTACGTGATGGCCTGCAATTCCACGCTGTAGTCACAGTCTGGCTGGAGTCTCTCCAGGATCACCAAATTTTGAGACTGCGAATGAAGAGAATATATACCTGAACTCCATGACAAACCTTCCCTAGCTCTCATCTTCATTGCAAGACCTCGTATATCATCACGAAGCATACCAACTTCTACCTTATGTGTGCCTTTAATTTTCCAAGATCACACATTCTTCTGCATCTTTAAGATCTGAAAATCCAGTTTTACCATGGACCGAAATAAATTTCATAGAAAGGCCAAAACATATTTTTCTGAAATTGTGTTCCTAATCCAATTATTGGATTCTCTCCGGTAGCATGGAAATGCATAATTCTGGCCCCCACATTTTTCTCAATATCATCTTGTAGAGAAAAGAGAGTTGTTTGTAACTAACTAATAGAGGCTTATGTTGGCACATGCTTGGAAAAATTATGAATTGGCATTAATTGTATTTCTTTGATATTTCTTCCAAATCTTCTATGAGTAAATTTCCACCCAAAGTTATAGGAAAAATCAACCTCCAAAATGCTTTAAGAATTTTTCTGCCAATATATCAAGCATTCACCCAGTTTTCTGTGTGTGATGCTCAATATTAAATGAAGTAAGCCAAAACAACACAATTTGCCCAATAGCTTGAAGTCAGACAGAAATTCTACTAAGACCAAGAGATCAAGTGACGTATCCAAGAAAATCAGGTATTGACGGTGGGACCCAGATGGAAACACAGGTCTTGTAACTCCGAATCTAGTGCTTTTTCCACGGCTTACAGATAACTGTATAGTGAGGTCCCTTGTAAGAACTTGTAATTGAAGAGGAAATAAGGTTGTTTTCTTAGAATTCAAAACATTTGTCAAAACACAATGCATGTGTGATGATAACAAATGGCCCCTAGGCTACAAGAAGACTAGTCTATAAAAGGTCAAATTGGTGGTATTAACGTTTAGGAAGGAAAAAATGTATCCACCATTAATGCAACAACAAACAGCAGGCAGTTAGAAGCACATGCTTTCCAGTGGAGAATATTCCAGTTTTACGGGTGCAATGTGCTATATTAAGAGTATTGTGGTCTGAAATCATCTGACATTGAATCACATAAGTAACGTCCTCGCTTAAATTCCACAATCATCTATAAGCATTCTCCTCCTAATTTCAGGTATGTGAGATCTCTTTTCAAGAAAAGAACATGATTTTCATGGGCATTCCAGAACTGTGTGCACAATGCTCACTGTAAATTAATAGATGGCATCATTCTACGATTCTGGCTTTAGAGGGGTTAATTATCAGAACTCGACCATCTTCCCTCTGGTCAGCTCTGGAAGGCTGACATGACTGCATTCCAGAAGTGGAAGTCTGAGAGTCAGACTCTAGACTGTGGTCCCTTCTTCCAGGTGAGGCCGGGACAGCTCTCAGCAGCCCACCACCCAGCATCTCCAGAGAAACCCTCTCTGCCTCTTCACGGACGTTCCTCCTCTTTCAACCGATGCTGTGTCTGCATAAACCACTGACTCCCAATGTCTTTTAGTTAGAGTTTCTTGTTGGACTGCATATCATTCTCCCTAAACTATTATCTTCAAACAAGTAAGATAAAATTCACTTTTGAAAGAGTGTTTCCTTGAAAATTCCCTCTCCTCTTATTTACCAAGGATACCATTAGAATGGTATCTTAGGAAATGGGAAGCCATTGATCCCCAAGAAGAAAATTTCATAATTTCTCATGTTCTTTCATATTTTTCCAGTTTCTAGTCTTAATCCTCAATTGGTCAAATTTTAATACTGAGAACTCTAGTGATCCACATGACCTATAGCTTGCCTCTAGGGGATCCAAAAATGCAAGTCACTCATAAGATGGTAACTCCTGATTTAGGCTACTCTGGGCCGATTAGCAACTATAATTATATTTGCAGTTCAAGTATCCTTTAAGTGATACATAATAGAAATAAATTGGAAACTTCCCTACTAATCCTTGATGCTGTTTGGTTATTAATGGCAAGTGTGTGCATGCCTGTGTGTGTGGGTATGTGTGTGTGTGCGTGGAGGGGGCTGTCAGCATTTCATCACATCACATTTTGCCTTCCATCCCTGTGATTCCACAAACTTAGCTCTTCCAGCTCTATTCTGTGAGCTAAGCATGCATTACCAATCATCACTTGTTGCAAAGTCCTTCAAAATAAAAGATGGAACGCTCAGAAAGTTTCTTTAAAATAAAACCAAAATAGGATCACAGCTAGCTATCAGTGATATGGACTTTTGGAGACATGTTTTATAACTCTAAGTGGCACAGATGTTGGAACCTTCACTGCAAAAAAAAAGAAAAAAAAGTCTTGCTATTCTTTTTAGAGAATTTTCAAGTATTTATTTATTTATGGAATTCAACTTTATAAACTAGGGGGAAAGGTGTTTATGTAAGTTTTACAACAGCAAGATAAAATAACGTATACTGAAAAGAAACTGAATAACTCCTTTCTAGGCACCAAGCATTTCGTATGATGCAAAATGTTCATTATGACAGAAATCTCATTGCAGAAAACAATTCAGTCAAGATTTTATTTCTTGCATCTGGAGAATACACCATTCCAAGTTCTTTTAATCAACAAGAAAAATATTGTCAAAATGCATTTTCTAAGCTGTTTACTATTCCATTGATTGGATTACAGATGGAAACACCTTGCAACATGAAAGCCATGAACATGTGCTCTTTGATTTACAAGGATCTCAAACAAAACAAAGGAAGAAGACCTAAATGTCAAGTATTTTTTTTTTTTTTCCTGAGGAAGATTAGCCCTGAGCTAACATCTGTTGCCAATCTTTGTCCTTTTTTGCTTGAGGAAGATTAGCCCTGAGCTAACATCTTTGCCAATCTTCCTCTATTTTATATGTGGGTCACCGCCACAGCATGGCTGATGAGTGGTGTAGGTACATGCCTGGGAACTGAACCTGCGTACACAGGCAGCTGAAGCAGAGCGCACGAACTTAACCACTACACGACAGGGCCAGCCCCTAAGGACATTTTGAACTGTATCATATTCTATGGCTAGATAGATAAGATGGAGATAACTTTCGTTCTTTTCATTTCTGGAGTTGTGACAGCCATTTGGATACGAGTAGGTCAATGGACTAAACTCAACTGTTTTTACCTAAAATGTCAAAGGCAAAACAGTGGGCAAGGTCCTCCATTCTCTGAACTTCCTCGGTCAAAACACAAGGGATGGGAACCTTTCCTTCATCCATTCCTTCTCTTAGCTCAGCAGAAGCCACTTTTCAGCTCAGTTGCCTCAAGTTCAAATACCCCTGCAAGAAGATGCCCCCCTTCCTTCTGGTTCTCACTTACCCCATCTGTAGTCTTTCTCCGCTTCTTTTTTGTTGGGACTAGTGACTTGCTGCTGACTGTCCAGCTCCAAAACACTTTGTAGTGATGCACTGGGATATCTGGTTCCTCGGGCAGATCCCAAACAAGAGCCACGGTCACACTCCCGTCGCTGTTGATTGTAGAGTTTGCAAGCCGGAGGTTGGTGGGAGCTGGTGGTGCAGATGGATCTGAAATCCCAGTAGAAAGATGAACCATGTGGCCCGAGTACCAAGGATGACAAGAAAACCCACATCTTTGTACGTGTACTTACTACATGGTCAATACCTGGACCACTGCCCTTTATATGTAGAAAACTTGAAAACAAATACTAAGGAAGATCCCTTTTTAAGCCTCAAATTAAAATACAGTATACAAAACAATGAGATAAATGTGTTTGGGCCATATTGGTAATCTAGCAGGATCCTTCAAGGTATTTCCATACCACTACAACCCAGTCAAATTTTCATTGTACTGAAATTGATAAATTTCTGTAAAACATGGTAAAATTCAATTTAGGTTGGTTGACATTAAATAGGAAGCAAAGTAGAATTGCCTTTGAAAATTCTGTAAAGAAAAAGATAGAAATCCAGCTCACACAAGTACTTGTTTTCATCTTAGTGGCCCTGGAGCTTTTGATCCCTGCATCAGCTAAGAGCAGCAGAGATCAGCAAAAACGAACTATACCATTTTGTAACCACATTACAAATTGGATGACAGACAGTTAACATCCATTCTTGTAATTGCACCATTTCTGGTTTATCACATAAACCAAAACCTTCTCAGCTGTCAGGAGAGAGATTAGGTCCGGAATTATTACTCCACAAATCTCCATTTCAAATATCTACACTTAGATGACTAAACATGTGCGAAGCCAGAGGGTCTTTCCTTCATTTTTTGCCATAAATTGAGCAAGTGTAGATGCCACTCACCACAAATGATTTACAGATGGTTTCATTTCAAGACGCCTTCCCAGGAAAACGTTGTCAATAATTCTAATTATAATACCATCTGCATCAGAGGTGCAAAGAAGTTATACCTAACTTGATATAAAAGAAGAAGACTGGAGGAAAAATACCCATGTTTTTACTCTCAGGTTCATTCGTGCTTTTGGAATGATGGAAACATGAATTATTTTTAAAACTCGCTTGCTTTTCTCTAAGATATATAAGGTCTGGAGATTTGGTTGGTTGCTTAATTTTTAAAAATGACAACATTTCGTAGTTGCTTTCTTAGGCAAGTGGCTAATCCAAAGGACATTATATGATGCTGTTGATCAAGTGGTTCTTAAACAATCAACATGAGGAACTTTCTGGGGCACCCAAGACTTACGTTGGGATATGCTGATTCTGTAAGTCTGAGGGGGGCCCAGAAATATACATACATAATATACTTTATATATATGTATTTTTTATGTAAAACACACGCGTAATTCTGAAGTAGATGATCTGCAGGCCAGAAGTTGAAAAATACTGCACCTTGGTGGCAACAAGGCAAGAGGTCTAAACATTACTTAGTTCTACATAAGGAAGAAAACTCTTGTTCCTATTATTATGGCACATGAAACTCAGGCTTCCTTGCTATGCTGGTTCAGAAGAGCCATCTGAGAAACCCCACTCTGATTGTCCATATGGATGTGACATCACTGATGACTGTCTTCTCTTTGAAACACGTTCCCCACTTGACACCACTCACTACTGGATTTCCCTTCGGTCCCACGAGATGCTACTTCTCTTCTCGGTCTCCCCCTCTGGTTCCTCCCCATCCCTCCAGCTCTAAACAGCAGAGCGTGCAGCTTCAGAACTTGGGGGCCTCTTCTCTTGTCATCTACTCTCACTCTCTAGGGATCTCATCCAGTCACAGCTTTAAAAAACAACTTTGTGCTGATGACTCTCAAATGCATGTCTTCAACATAGACTTTGCCCCTGAACTCAGATTCAGGAAATCAAGGGTCTTCCTGTCACCTCCACTCAGAGATCTCAAAGGCAACTTGAAACTTATGTGTCTAACACCAAAATCATGACCCCTCCCACCCCCCCCACCCCATCTCAGGAAATGGAAATTCCTTTCTTCCACTTACCCAGACCCAAACCTTGAAGTCATACACCTCTTTTGCCTTCATATCCCTTGAGCAAATCTTGTTAGCACTACCTTCAAAGTATATCTGGAATTTAACTGCTTTTCACTACTTCCGACACTCTGCACCAAGCCACCATCATCTCTGCCTGATGATCAGAAAGCCCTCCTAACAATGCTCCCTGGCTCTGATGCTGCCTCCCTAGAGCCTTTTCTCAATAGAGCAGTCTGGCTATTCTTTACACAAGCCATGCCTGTCTCTCCTCTGCTCAGAAGCTCTTGATGGCTTCCTATCTCAGAGTCAAAGTGCTAGCATGCTCCCAAATGTCCTGCAAGTTCTTACAGCACATTGTCTCTCAAACCACCTTTCCTTCTGTCCTCACCTGACCCCTCTGCTCTAGCCACACTGGTGCCATGCCATTTCTTGGAGAGGAAAACCCAGGTATCCCCATGGCTGGCTCCTTACCTACTGCAAGTCTACCAGATGTCTCCCTATCCAAAAGAGCTATACACTCTTTCCAACTCCCACCAAAAATATTTTCACCATGATTTTCTCCTCCTTTGTTGTTCTCCACAGGCCTTATTACCAACTGGCTTATTATAGACTTTATTTGCTGCCTGCCTCCACTCACGGTCATGAAACTTCCATGAGCACAGGATTTTATCTGTTTTGTTCACTTCTGTATTCCCGGCATTGAGAAGAGTGCCTCACACACAGAAGGTGCTCAGTAGACATTTGCTGAACAAATGGATGAATGAACAACAGCCTTCTCTTAAATCTTAGGTTTAATTTGTAAGGTGCTATTTCAGTTTCAGTTTTAAATGATGTCAAATGGAATGGATAAATCAAAAGAAGATTGTGAAGGGAAATGCAAAATCAAAGGGCTGCTCTTCTTGGTTTGAAATGAGATGCTCAACGCAATCCCCTTTCCTCTTACGATTCAATCCTTAACCTACAAAAAGTTGCTACAGACCTAGCTGAGAGGGAAACTAGTTTGCACACTAGTTATCACTTCAAGGCAAGAGAAAAATTAAAATGTGTAAAGACAATCAGAGCCATTCACGGTTTCAATGACGCACCTGAATGTCTATGTGCTGAAAATAAGTGGTTACCTGAATTTTCCAGATATTCTGAGTTCGTAGGAAAAACTCAAAATCATCTCCTCTTCTAAAGAAATTTCAACTTTATGAAGGTCAACTAGCATTAAGTATTTCATCATTTCCTTAATCTACTTCATTCACGATATTATTACTTACTGCCCTGGAAAAATGTTCCTACCTTAGACGTAAACATAATAATCCAGAATATCATCATCTAGTGTATGAAACATTATGAAACATGAAACAAAGTAATTCATGAGAACAACATGAGGAAATAATGCTTTTAAATATATGAGTTAATAATATTTGCTTTACATTTTCTTAAAAGTAAGGCCCATTTTGACTATTTACAATACCAAGACAGCATACTTCTAACACCAAGATGAGACACCCCCATTTCTTTCTCCCCTAGAATAATTGCTAAGTTACAAAGTCAAAAGAGAATTGTAGAGATCACCTGTTTATCAGTCTGATAAACTGTAAACTATTTGTAAACTATCTATTCATTTATCCTTTTATTCACTGTAGAATTCAGATAAGAGTCTGTCTCATTTATCTAATCCAGAGGATTTCATTCGGTCCTAGCTAATTCTTATATTCAAGCTATTCACTGCCTTGTGAAATGGTTCCCCATATTATGAAATAAAATATATTCACCTTGTTGAATTATACAAAATCTTTTTCCGACTGCATGATGTTTTGTGTTCGAATTTTGAAATGTAGTTGGAATATTGCATGTAAAAACTAGATAGATAGATAGATAGATAGATAGATAGATAGATAGATAGATAGACAGATAGATATACAAGGACTCCACATTATGATAAAGCCTTAAGGGATTCTACAATTAATTTATTCGGCTTTTATTTTAAATGGTAAAGGTCATAGGTGTTAGAGAGGTAAAGTCACTTGCCCAAGGTCATTCACATAATTCAGAGCCGAGCAGAAGTGAGAAAAAAAATAAGAGGAAAAGAGGGCATTGAAGCTCTAACAATACACGCCTACACACACCACACACTCTACATATGTTATATTTCCTCATCATCATGATGGGCCAACACCCTTATAGAAAGTAAACATGTAAAACCCTTTAATGGGAAAAGTGTCCATCACAATAGTCTAGAGCAGGGATTGACAAACTTTTTCTGTAAAGGGGCAGAGAGTAAATATTTAAGGCTTTACAGACCATACAGTCTCTGTTGCAACCACTCAACTCTTGAAAGCAACCAGAGACAGTATGTAAACAAATGAGCATGGCCGTGTGCCAATAAAACCGTATCTGTAACATCAGGCAGGGGGCCAAATTTGGACCACAGGCCATCGATTGCCAACCCCTGATCTACAGTCTTTCAAAAGCAGTGATACCATCAGCTTTTTAAAGCCCATCACTTACTGTGAGGCAGGCTCCTCTAGGTTTTCAGACAATGCTATTTGTTAAATACAGAAACCCACTCCTACATGTTAAAACAACAACTGAGTAACATGCAGATGGCAATAAAGAGAACAACCATTATAAATAAATAATCATATATATGTATAAGTATTCGTATATCCATATAGAGGAACAATATTGTCACGTGCCACATAACGACATTTCGGTCCACAATGGACTGCATATATAATGGTGGTCCATAAGATGAGTACCATACAGCTTAGGTGTGTAGTAGGCTGTACCATCTAGGTTTGTGTACATACACTCTATGATGTTCACACAACAACGAAATTGCCTAACAGTGCATTTCTCAGAATGTATCCCCATCATTAAGCGACGCATGACCGTATATGTTTTAAGAAAATGAATGTTGATTTCATTATTTACTATTAGATTTCCTCAAACGAAACCCAGAGATCAAACGCCCCACTGAAGCGCATCATAGGAATACCTCTTGAGGATGTGACAGTGATCAAGTGCAGTTATATTTTAAGAGCAGTGATTATCACTAGTCACAAATTCTCCAACTAATTAGAAGCTTGGTTCTAATACTTAAACTTTTTTTCTTTCCAGACTCAGCAG